AGGCGATGCTTGAAGATCCTGTTGTCCACACTGCAGCCTTGACCAACCAAGTGAGCAGGCCAAAGGACACGCCCATGCCGCACCGCACGAAGCCAAGTTCTCCACAGCTGCCTTCCGGGGTCAACAGGCGCAGAGGGCAAGGCCACAGAGGGTACCTTGCCACTTTTCAATCCAACATAAGCAGCCTCAAAATGAGACATGGGAACCATGCCGAAGTCATCACAGAAAAAAGAGCACCACAGCCACAAGAGGAAGGAAGTGCCACGGGTAAACATGGCCAGGAGCCAGCAGAAAAGGGCTCCCAGATCGAAGGTGACATCCCCATACATGAGTGCGAGCACTCCCCTACTCGCAGAAACCCTGTCACCTCCAATCACTTTGCACCTGTCGTCTTCGCAACAGGCCCACCTCCACGGCGCGGACGTGTGATTGTAGAGGCGACGACCTTGTTGTCGTTGGAGCTCCAAACATCGACCAAGGAGGTTGCGAAGCTTTTGGCTTTTGTACGACACTTCCATAGGTCTAGCGATGGCCTTGACTTGAGGCGCACTGCCTTTTGTTCGTTTTTGAGGAGGAGGACGGTGAGCAGAAAATTGACCCAAAGCCGTGACCGAGCCCTTTCGGCCTGAGAATGGAATTCTTGCCATTCTTGCTCTGTCGTGGAAGGAGACGGAATCTGAACCTGCAACCATTCCGGCTCCTGCTTGGAACGCCATTCTGTATCCTGAACATGATGCGGCTTGCACAACGTAGGAGTAGAAGTGAGTTGGCATGCCCCTTGCCAGTGGCCAGTAACCTCCAAATGGCCAGCGAAAACCTTGTGGTCTGAAAGCACCGTATCCAAATATCGGCAGCGCACCAGATTCAAGTCAGGGGTGTGAGCTGCGAAGTCAATACAGCGGTTGCCTTTCCACCTGCTAGGGCTAGGTGCACCAGAGGAATCCTGAACATAAGCCACTGAAAGCGCCAAGCTGTCGGAGACTTCGTTTGGGAGAGCGTTGAAGTCACCAGAAACCACAAAGGACCAACAAGCCGGTCTAGCGTGCAGGTTCTCAAGCAGAGTATTGATCCAAGCATCATCATCATCGCCATCTACAGTCAAGCCTTTTTGCCAAAAAGTGCTGCGAGGAACCGGCCGCTTGCTCTTGCCAGTAGAGTTCAGGTCTCTGAGCTCCTGCTTTGTGATTTTCCACACTTTGGAGAGCTGCCGTTTGCGAGACAAAGTGGCATGTTTCATCATGTTTCCACGTAGTTCTGCGACCAGAAGAGTTGAAAAGCTGCTGCCTTTTCAATTGCCCGTAGCACTGGACATGCTTCTTTTCCTGAAACAAATCAGTGATGGAGAGCCAGTAAATAGTGCAACGACGACAGGTGACCATGTATTTGCTTTGTTCCTTGCCATGGTAGACTGCCAAAAGGTCGTGCGTGTCAAGGCTTGAAGGCTTGGTGGCATTGTACTGCTTGATTCTGTCTGAAACCGAAGCGAACCTGGTAGCTCCACCAAGCGAACCTTTGTTGCGACCATTGATTCGGATGCTTTTTTGTTCCAACAATCGGCGAAGGTTCTTGCCGAGAGTTGGACCCTTGGGCTTGCCCTTGCAACTTTTCCAGTGAGCCTTGCAACTGGCACGAAGGCTAATTTTGTTGAGCGCAGGCAAAACATGGCCGCACCATGCACATTCCCAGCTTGGTTCCTGTTGAAGGGACCAAGGCGGGACCGCCACGACAACCTCAGGAGTGGCTCGAAGCTTATGAAACCGATCCCGGGGAACTCGATCCAGGATGAACTCTCACGTGCCCTGCACGAAGCTTTGAAACGTGTCTGACAGAGGTGCCTGAAATCTCCTGGTGGCAAACATCGCACACCCAGTGAAAAGGCCGCTGTTGACCTTGCACGGCCGAAGGGCTTTGGCTGCTGGAGCTAGGCTGAGATCTAGAGCGACCGCGCTAGCAGAATAATTTCTGCTAATCGCAGTCCCTTGCTGAGACTTAGCAAAGGCTGCGCTGAGCACCGAGTGGGCGGCAACCCTAGTCCCAGCCTTAGAAGCAGCTTGCTTGGTGCGAGCCGGAGTAGACCGAGGAATCCACGTTTTGGCAGCACTGCTAGGTATCCAGGATTTGCGAGCAGGGCTTGAAACCTGACTCTTGGCTCCACCACGCGGGGAGCGGCCATTCCGTAACCTTCTTCAGCTTCAGCAACCATGTTTGACCCTTTTTCGGGAAGTTTGACATCTGGGTTGGGGTCCACCAGCTTATAGTGACCACCTTCAAAAGCCAAAGTGATTTGAACCGAAGCGTTGGGGTTGCCATAAGAAACGATCTGATCACACTTGCTGGGGTCGTGGATAGCAGCGATGTCGAACTCCAAGGCCACGAGCAGCTGCTCTCCAAGCCAGTTCGTCGGCCCAACGTTTTGGCCGAAACAAAGCAGCGATGTAATCTTCAAAGGTACCCAGGCTGCGTCGCCATCTTCAATTTGCACCGCGTTGTTGCCAAGATCCTCCGCAGGTCTCCAGTGACGATAATCTTTGGCATGCTTCTGAATGTGGGTGGCGATCTGTTCACGAAGGCCACGACCGCGAGAGGAAACTTGCGGCTGCACTGTAGTCCTATCTTTTCCTTCGAACTGAAGGGCATATCCAGCAGCGACGCAATTGTAAAAGCAATGAGCCTCGCCGTCACATTCTTCCTCCGGCTTGCCGCGAGCTGGGCTTCGGGAACGTTCCCTTCGAGCTGAGGAATTGCCCTGCGCCACTGTTTCTGTTGCTGCTGGTTTTTCGACTGGAGCAACAGTAGCAGGAGCAATGACCTGACGAGTTTGCTTCACCGGCCGCACCACAGTTTCGACAAGCTGATCCATTTTGCAGACCGTTTGGGCTCTCGCTAAGTGCAGCGAGGACAAGAACTTCAACCAGAAGGACCGAGTCGCGGATGCGCTCGGCCTTTTGCAGTCGCACCAACCATTGTTTTCTTGTGTGCCCTTTGCTAATGATTTCCACATTTGTGAATCCGGCTACTGTGATGTCAGCTTTCAGATCTTCCTCATACCATTGAACTGGTACTCCACGCAGTTGGCGGTCAGGAGCTTTGAAAGTGGATTTCAGAGTGCCCTGCTGTTCAGGCGACCCAGAGGCCGTGAGCGCTGTGACATTCCAAGTGGCAACAGCCTTTTGGCCTGTGCTGCTGACAGAGGCACATTTCATCGGTTTGCAAGCAAGCTTGTCTGTAGGCCCATGAAACACCACCCCAACTTTGGCTTTGCAGTCATAAACACGAGCAAGGTCCAACAGGCGTTGAGCTTTCTTGGCATCCTGAACCTGGATCCACTGAGCACTGATGGGAACATCATTTTGGAGTTGCTGACGAGCTAAGGCAGCACTAGCAACAGTTCCCTTGGCGGAGTCCAAGTGCCAAGTGGGAGACGATTGCTTTGCTGCGCTGCCAGCCACCTCAACCCAAAGGCCCGGCTCCTCTTTGTCAGCAGCGAGAGCAAGGTCAGCAGGAGTTTCCTTGATCTTTGTGCCCCTACCCGAAGCTGCGGACTTGTTGGCCTTTGCTCTGGCCCTTCTGTCAGCCCGAGTGGGCCGAAGATTCTTGCCACTCGTGGTCTGGTTGACAAGGGTACCAAGTCGTTGAAGCAGGCCTCCAGGACTCTTTTCTACTCTTGTAACAGCTCTCTTGAATGCTTCGAGCAGGTCGCTGCGACCGGGCCCTTTGCCCTGGCTAGTGTGCGATCCTGAGCTGGGATCTGGTGCTTTGCTCTTGCCCTTGCCTTTTGTGTGATTCTGAGCTGGGATCTAAGGCTGTGTGTTTGCCTTTGCCCTTTGACTGCCTAGGAGAACTGTGTGCTGCGAGCAAACCTTTCAAGCCTTGTAGAAGGTCACTTTCAGTTTGGTCAACGTTGCCACCCCCACGGCAGAAAGCTTGCCAAGGAATCCTACCTTTGTCAGTCAAAATCGTCCTCGTAGCATTTCCTGCATCACCGAAAAAACTCTCAGGTGGTGTCACTTCGGGCTTTTTGCCAAGCCAGGCAAAACAGCCGAAAATCATGCCCAAAAAGGAAAAAAATGCTCCCTTGAACTTTCTGAGGCGGCACCACTTTCCAGGTGAACGATCCCGATGCCGCACTTTCAGTCCGTAACTGCATGCCAGAAAATATGGTGAATTTGTGAAATTCCACGTCTTGGTGCAGAAAATCTTCTACCCGCAATGAGTCTGGCAGGAAAAATCAGGTCACTCTTGCGCCAGAGACCCGAGCACTTCGAGAGAAACCAAATCAAAACTGGGCCAAGCCAAAGCCAGAGCGTCAAAAATTGGAAAAGACATGAGAAATCCAGATCTGCACCGTCACAGCCACTGCAAACAGCAAAACAGTAAGCAGTAACTGACAGCAACATCATGGCCATAACTGCCAAGGCCCGCTGTGCTTGGTCACTTGCAAAGTTCCCTGAGCCGCCGCATGAAGGCGCACACTCGACTCCGTGTACCTCGCAACGGTCCGCAGTACCACACGCCGTCCCGTTTTATTCTTGTTTGCCAGTAAAGACTTTCCCAAACAGAGATGTAGATTTTGGGAAGCCTTTCTACTCAGTAGCATTGGTTATGTTCTTGTCTTTACTATTGGCGTTTTCACTGGAGGCAAAGGAGACTGCTCACGGGAGTTGACTCCACTGGCTTGCAACGGATTCAGGTTTGAACGGATATTGGCATGCAGGTCTGACATGTAAACATATTAGGACTTGCAACTTGCAAGATGCACATGTTCACTTTAAGATATGCTTGAGTCAATGATTGAAATACAACATGAACCAATTTTCTACAATTGAAAAACACAAGTAAGGTGCATCACAAACAAAATTTGTGTGCGGAAAACAGGAAAAGTATGAAATATCTTCTCTCGCCCTCCAGATCTGATCAAGAGTCATTCATGTTCACACCTTGACAACCGGAAGAGCCCAAACTGGTCCCCCAATACCAAGCTAAATTCACATCTTAAGCACCTCCTTGGCCAATGTGAATGCAGATTGCCTCACGCATGGCTTCGAGAAAGCTGTGGAAAAGTGACGGAAGCACACCGTGTGATGTGGGAGCCTCAGGCACAAATCCTTGAGCGAAAACGGCAGCGGACGGCCGACAACACGATGGTTATTCATGCTGTCATCAGCAAAGCCAAAGTGATGTCAACCAGAGATTCGCATTAAAATTTACTCCAATCATTCCAATTGTGCTTATCTATGATGTCATTTATTCTAATTGTGCTTACTATTATACCAAAATGATGTCATTTATTCCAATTGTGCTAGCTGGTATGCCAAAGGATTCGAAAGAATTGGAATAAATCGGCAGTCTTGAAACTCCAGCACGAGCTGGCTACTCCCCGGAAAACCTGATGTCATATCTGCTCATTGGGAACTTACTGGAGACTAATTATGACCGGGATCATGTAATGATGGTAATCCCCATTATTAAAGCAATTATATATATATATAAATATAATCATATATAATCATATATATATGTATGTATTGGACCATCATTTTATGATGGTCATCCATGAAAGCAAAAAGAATAGTAGATCCCCAGGTGTTTCCCTATCGACCACTTTGAGTTAGGTCACTGCACACCTTTGGAAGATTGGCGTACAAATTCATGAATTGGAAGATTGACCCCGAGAACCCTATGGAAAAATGATGCGCCTAAAACAATCAAACACCCTTCGGAAACCATGGTTTGCAGATTTACACATCTTTGGGTGAATATAATATAGATAATATATATCTAATAGATAGATCATTAACCATAGATAGATATATATGTACCATTACCATTCACCATGGGGGTCTTTAATCTTAGCATAAAAATCCTCCCACCGATGTTTAGGCTCTCGGACGTTTCCCTTGAAGCCACGGTACCAAGGTGTCATTGCCACCGGCGCTTCCCTACGAGATGTCCGGAGGTTTCCAGATTTTACTCAGAAGAATCATGGATTTAAGTCCACTTATGATCATTGTACTATAAGTACAATGATGATAATCTAGTATAATTATGATAGTTCTATTTCTTATAGTACAATGAATCATTATTGGAATTATAATCATGTGAGCCATTGTACTGAATCTCATCCACACTGCAATGATCTCATGGTCCAACACAACCGAACTTGACATGTGGCAGGGTCAAACGGGAATGGATCAATATTCAAGGCCGGTGCCTTGTTAGGACCACAGATTCTCTTCATGGTATTCATGGTGAAAAAATTAACCATCTAATGTTGGCTACTACCAACATATGAAAACATAGATACCATCAATATTGACCAGAGATATTGGCCCATTTGGCCCAAAAGTACATACCATCAATGTTGGTCAATAGATAGATACCCAATTATTCTGTTTATTTTGGTGGTACCCTCTGGTAATTTAACATAGCTATGGAAATCTATGGAAAATCACCATTTTTAATGGGTAAATCCACTATAAATGGTAATTTTCAATAGCTATGTTAGTTTACCAGAGGGTATCTAATTTTGGCCCATACCCCATTGGAGAAGGGGCTGCTGAGCTTCAAGATCATCAACTTCTGGCCCCGTTGTTTTCATCAAAAATGAACCATTCCCCATAACCATTGCCTTGGAGTCTTTTCAAACCAAAAATTTGGATTTCAGAATGTATGCCACCAATTGTCCAATTCAATGCTAATTCAATGCTATAAGGCTGTATGTATATTTGTATACATATGTACATATATATAATATATGGAAAGAGAGAGACATGAAAAGACGGAAAGTCGCAGGATATTCCGCAAGGAATGAAATGGAAAAAATCTTCCAAGTGTGGATTATTCCCGACAAATAAACAGGGTTATTCTATAGGTTCCAATGCCATGTTTTGCAAAGCCATATTTTGCCGCCCATCCGGTGCACCCACGGAGCATCAAGCGGAGATTGGAAATCAAGTCACGCCTGAGAAAGGGGCCCAAAGAAGGGGCAGTGTTCAAAAGTCTGGCTAAGAGGAAACTTGGGGATACTTGTGTACATAGTTTGTACATGTGAACATAGTGGTGCATGTGTGCATAATATATATATATATACGTGTGTGTATGTATATGTATATATATATATACAGTATGTGGATGTATGTGTGTAATTGTATATTTAATAGTATTCATATGTCTATATATATGTATATATATATATATGTGCATATATGTATGTATATAAATAGAGAGAGAGAGCAAACTAAAGTCTACTTACAGTATGCTTTTATCAGTATTTATCTATTAGCGCACACACAGGAAAAAAACAGCGCTTCTGGTGTGGCTTTCCCCAGTTTCTGAGGGCTCTCGCGGGTTGTAGTTCGGAATACTGGACGACCAGCCGGTGCCAATACCTAGCGATCCAAGGTTATAGCGCTGGTTTTTTTGACAACGGCCAAGGTTGTGTTCTTAAGTCCCATCTGGAAATGTTGTAGATATGTTTGTGATATTATATATACATATATATATATATATGGCAAATTATAGTAAGATATATATATATATGGCAAATTATGGTAATATGGTGTATCTGGGAAAAATCACACCAATTGTAGATGATGAGTCCTATCCGCAAATGTAATTGTTCACCTTTCCAGCGTGGAATTACCACTCCCTTTCGTGGTCCTTTCTGAAAATCTACTCCTGTCCCTCGATCGATTTCCATAGGGAAGGAAATTGGCTTATCGGTTGTCCTCTATGCCAGCTTTCCATTGCAAAGCTTCCGCATGTTGCCTAAATCTGGTGCTGTCGTGAGCTAACCTGATGGAACCTCGAAGTTTGAGCAAGATTGAGGCACAGTCACGGCTGGAACCCCGCTGGGGTAATGACTGGGGGAAGCTCGGGTTGTCGAAATGGGTCAAACTGGGTTTGGTGCAAGCTTGGAGTTACTCCCCAGCAAATCAATTGACATAAATATGGAAAATCTACCGTTTGTAGATTATTTTCCTTGTTTATCCATATCTTTTTGCATGTTCGCTGGAGGGTATTTCCCGAAATTGCCATGGGATAAGACGGTGCAGATTCAATCCTGATCTGACTGGATTTTGGTGGCTCTATAGACTCCAACTGAGAAAAGTCAATTAAGTTCCTTCCACTACCATTCTCCAGTAGTTAATCATTCATCATTCCCGTACTTTTAAGACAAGTGCAGTGAATATAGGAGGCAAAAAAATCCTTCAAAAGTTACATCAACTGAGACTAGTTAAGAGATCTGCCAGTTAATCTCTAGTCTATATATATATATATTATATATATATATATGTTCTATTGCCAGCATCTAATTATTAATTATTCGTGACAGTATATAACCCCATTGCCATTAGTGACACCATCAGAGCGCACCATCTGCGCCATTCACCAGGACCATTGGGATGATCGGACAGAAGAAACCTCGGTTGAGGAATGGCATTATGTCCACATAAAGGAGTAAGTATGTGTATATATCTACAATATATCAATAATGTATAATATCTATTGTGTATATATATATATGTGATATGTATATAATGTATATATGTGATATATATATATATAATATCAAAAATATATATAATATCTAATATATCTATTGTATATATATATATATACGGCAAATGCCTGGGTTTTGCCCGGACCCGCAATGACGACAGGCGACGCATCATCATCATCAGAAGAATTAAACCCTTATTGAAGATCTTCAATGAATGTAGAAGTTTAACGGGGTGGGGAGAATTAAACCCTTGTTGAAGATCTTCAATGAATGTAAAGTTTAACGGGGGTGGGAGAATTAAACCCTTATTGAAGATCTTCAATGAATGTAAAATTTGAAGACAATGAATGGGTTTAACGGGGGTGGGAGAATTAAACCCTTATTATCTTCAATGAATGTAAAATTTTCAATGAATGTAGAAGTTTAACGGGGGTGGGAGAATTAAACCCTTATTGCAGATCTTCAATGAATGTAAAATTTAGCGGGGGTGGGAGTTCAATGTTCCCTAGTACCTTTGTTGATGTGAAGTTTAACGGGGGTGTGATTTTTATATTCCCTAGTACCTTTGTTGTTTTTTCCCATAGGAATTTAAGGTTTAACGGGAGTAACTGTTTAATATTCCCTAGTACCTTTGTTGATCTTCCCAACTGAATGTAAAGTTTAACGGGGGTGGGAGTTTAATATTCCTTAGTACCTTGTTGTTTTTCCCATAGGAATTTAAGGTTTAACGGGGTGGGAGTTTTATATTCCCTAGTACCTTTGTTGTTTTTCCCATAGGAATTTTGTGAAGTTGCATCAGCATTTGTTTGGGAATGGGAAACCTCTACGCTGCAACGCCTGGGCAAAACCCAGGCGTTGCGCGTATATATATATATATGATATGTATATATAATATGTATATATAATATGTATATATAATATGTATATATAATATGTATATATAATGTGTATGTATATATATATTGAAATATATTGGTTTATATAAGTATATGTGCATACACACACACATACAATCACATACACACCAGTTCATAGCTTAGAATGGTTCAGACCCAATGTCCTAACACTGTGTGTTTTTGATAACTTGGACATTTCAGATGGGGTCCATCAATTGTGTATCCCAAAAAAATCCATGGTTGATCACTGCATTTTTTTACCCCAATAAAGTTAAGTGTTTCCAGGATGGTAAAAAGCCACCCTCCAGGTCTCCACTGGGATTTTTCAAGGGGACCCCCTTGGGGGACCCCCACGAGGTTCGATCTGATGCCCTTCCTCAAAAAGATGCCTGGAGCAGCCGGAAGTCAGAGAGATCATGGTACTCTGGTTTTTGAAAAATCGAAAACTCCCATTTATCACCATCACTTAGAGGATTTTCCCAGTATTTTAAGAAAATAATATAGGGCATAGGGATTTTCCCATTGAAATCTCCGCAGTTTGACAGTTTGGGGCCCACTTTTAGGACCCCTGAGGGCCGCACTCCAGTACTGCATCGTCCTCTTCCGGAAAGATGCAGCGCGTCACCTGAGAGGATCGGCAAAAAAAGAGGGCGCTCTTACAATGGGGAGCCCAAGTTAACATTCAAATTGGTGATGTTTTTAAGGAAAACCAATGGTTCATGCTTTTTTGGGGGAAACCTATTCTCTCTCGATCAAGTCATAGTATGAGTCAAGCCCCATTTTTCGGTGACCCAAGAAAATGTTGGGCGTCGTGGGGCAAATCGTGAGCATCTTGGATCACTCAAAAAGAACACCACTGCACTAGTTATAAAATCATGTGGATGAAAATACTACATATCAACTATCATCAATCTTGGGTAACCGGGTAACCCCAAATGTCATGCTTTTCTTCATCAGTTTTCCATCGATTTTTTCCGGTTTTTTCTGGTCCTATTGCCATGTCCAGCCTTCGAGAGGCACGTGAAGATGTATCGCGACGCCGCATGATCCTGGCAACTTGTGCAGTTGATGGGGCTTGGATGGGGATATCATGGCATATATGACGGATATATATATATATATGGCAGTGTGTCAAAACCAATAGTGCCCCTGTAGTTCACATCAAAATAGCTGGGATTTATGGATGTGAATAACCCACTAAAAATGGTATTAATAGGTATTGATCCATACCCATATATACAGTATATACAGTATATGCACCAGTGTATGTGATTGTATTTGTAAAAACATAAGGTAAATAAAATAATAGTTCACTGACCTGAACTGAGGCTGTTTTGGCATCGTTACCCTTACTAACCATCATTCCAGGGAGGTCGCAGTGGGGTCGTTATTATGTGTATATAAATGTGTAATACATATTATACTGGTTGGTGGCTTCAACCCCTCTGAAAAATATTAGTCAGCTGGGGTTACTATTCCCAATATATGGAAAAATAAAAAATGTTCCAAACCACCAACCAGTATATATATATATATATAACTACCAGGTTGAACTAGCAGCAACCTCAACTTGATGTTTCATGAGGATCATCCCAAATAGAAGTTACAAACATTTAGACAAGCTAAGTTACAAACCGTAGGTCCCTGACGGAAACTCATCAGAATGAGGACCATCTGGATAACTCCTGATCATCCAACCTATATATATATACCCCAACACCGAGGCCCCATTGGGCCCCACAACGGGCGCCTTCCCCCCTTGCAGGCGCGAACCGAATTGCCCACGAGGCTCGAAGAGGTTCACCTGGCCATGTTCTAAATAATTAAAGATGTGTATGTGTATATAAATTTAAACGTATATAAAAACATGATAAAACATGTGTATATATATATATGTATATATCATATTCACCCAAATGGGGATGCATAAATACCTGTGATGCCAATATTTTGGCTGTCCAGCTATGCTACATTTCTCCCTGGAGTCAGCGAGTGGCAATCCCTCAAACCATCCAGCGACAAAGGGGTACCCCCAGTCCAGGAAACCCCTGGATGCACTGCATGCTTCCCAAAATGACCACCCAATGTCTACCCTCTGGTAAACTAACATAGCTATGGAAAATCACCATTTTTAATGGGTAAATCCACTATAAAAGGCCATTTTCAATAGCTATGTTAGTTTACCAGAGGGTAAGCGTTCTAGCCCCTTTGTCCTGACGAAAAAATTCGGGCTCCGCGCATTGTTGCTTCCGACAAAGTCTTGGGCCATGCCGATGATCGTGCCCTTTTTTTCGCAGCACCGGAAACTGGGAAGTTGATCGGAGTTTCCAGTCAAAAATGTGATTGTTCCCCAACAAAAATGACTAAACGTGACGAGAAATGGGGAAATCACGAGATGTGTTTTCCAGTAAAAATGTTATTTTTGTCCCAACAAAACTTTCTAAATTGACCAGCAAAAACTCAAATAAGACCCCAATAAATCAACAAGAATGAGGAAATCGACAAATGAATGTGGGGCTTTGACAGAAACATGACTAATAATGGTGGTGACTGATCGGCGAATTCCCAGATACTACACGGCACTTTGCCTTCGGACCCTCAGGGATAAGAGATGAGCTGGTGTTTTTTTCGGACTGGGTAAATAATTTTGAAAAAAATGTGGATCTTTGATGAAACAGCTAATAAAACAGCAGCTAATGTCAATCAATGGATCTTTTTCGAATCCATGAGTCTTTCCTTTCCAAAGGAGTAAAAACAGGATTTTCCCATCAATCAGAATTTCCTCTATGTTTTTCCAGCTTTCCATTGATGGATACCGCCTGCAGGGATGCTTCGCCATGATGATAGGCGCTTTGCTCGGCCACATATCCTGCGGAGAGACTGAGAGACAGGAAGTCACCAACTTGACATGTTTAATGGGGAACATTACGATTTAGCAGTGAAATTTGGAGCACCAGATGTTCAAGCAAAACATAACATAATCATTACATGTTAACTACCCATAGAATGCATTCGAATACTAAGCCGTATTAACCACACTTCAGGGGTCATAATTGTGCTGGAATGTTGGCAAAAAAAAATCGGGAGGTTGCCCCTCTATGTGTCAACCAACAAGTCAGTTCTCGTGGGACGTCTATGGAATCAACTGGGTCCTCTGGATGATCGTTCAATTAGCCCAGCTTTGCAACCCAACAGCGAAAGGTTCCAGCAAGGTTCCAGGACTGTTCCGGTTTTTCGGGGCGTGCATGGCTACGTGTCACCAGTCCCCGGCCCCAGAGATTGAAACCCAACAGATTCGCTGTTGGGAGTAACTTGGGATATACACCCGCCACCTACTCTCCGTTCACCAGCTTGCTTGATGGTTCCAAATTGCAAGAACCCAAAAGGCCGCCGCAAAATGATCCAACACTGAAATTGATGAACATAGGTGAATGGCTATACATCAAACCTGGATGCCCAGGTTAACTGGAATGTTGTCCAGTGCTCTTCATTTAGACGGCCAAGATCTCCTGAGAACTGAGCCACTTTGATCTCGCTGTTCAGTTTCTTTTTGAAAGCTCCAAACAACACCTCAGCCCGTGGTCCCTTTATGGTGCTGGGACCATGAATCATGGCTTGCTGGGAAAACTCAGCAGTGAATCGGGAGTGGACTCAGAATTTGCCATGGTCAAGTGGGTTTCTAACCCCATGAACTCTAGATATCTCTATGATTAGATTGGTTTAAGGGAAAATTTACAGGAAACCATAGATTTTCCCATTAAATATGGGGCTTTCCTGTAAATTTTCCCTTAAACCAATCCATTGATTCTACCATAACCCCTGGTTGACCTAGTCAAACAGCAACGTAGCTAACTGGGTTGCACCTGACGCCCTGGTGACAACTTCTTAGCACGGCAAGTAATAGAGATATGGATATACAGAGATACATATATATTGATATTTATATATATATATATGTTAAGATACACAAGACTTTAAACTGTATATAATACTAGATATCTAGATTGTACTAGTCATAATAACCAAAAGTTGGACAAGCTCTAGCACTTAGTACCTTCGGTTGGATTTCGCTGAGTCAAGCGGCCTTTCGCTGGCCCGGCTTAAATCCATCCACCATGGAAGGCCTTGGTCGTCCATGGAACAGCCAGCGGTTGATCATCATTTTCCCGAAAATAGCAATGTCAGAGATATGCACTAGTGATAGATAATATGATATTAGTTGTTGACATATGCAATAATGATTAAATAATATCATAGATAATATAATAGATAATATCATAGATAGTATTATCAACCACTAATATGCACTAGATAATGTCATTAGTGGTTGATAAGTATGATAATTATCAACCACTAGATATGCAATCATATTGATCAACCAACGATATTTTTTGCGCGCGTTGCTTTACGTCAAGTCAGAGATAGAGACACGCAATCAGTGCCTAGTCTGGTTGTTTCAACATATGGAGGTTTAAAATGGGGGTACCTCTAAATCATCCATTTGATTTTCGGATTTTCCATTATAAACCATCCATTTTGGGGATCCCTATGGAAACCTATGGATGAGTCATAACTGACTAGAAAAACTCTCCAAATCGCCCAAGGCACACCGCTCGTTCCACATCGTACTTCGCAAAGAGCACCAACTCCTGTTTTTCGGTTTGAGGATCACGTAGGTAAGTTGGAGGTGAATTGTTCCAAGGTATCAACCAGGGGTATCACCGGTGGCACCGGTGTTTACCCAACTCCTTAGCACCAAGGGGGCCGGAGTCATCCAAGTCTTGGACATCCGGGGTTCCCAGAAAAAAAAATAAGCCCCAAAAGGCAAGTGGTACCTAGAGAATCACCCAGAATATATCGTAAATTTTAGATGCCCAACAAAAAAAAAATAATAACACGATATCTACAACTCCTCCATGGAAATGCCTGGCCTATTTTGCCCGTGAAAACCTGCGGTCTGCGGTGATGCCTACAGGCGATGCCCAGTAGATCAAACTCAAAGTTGGTCCAAACAGGTTATCCTTGGGTGAAATGAAAGCATTGGAGGGTGTAACCCCAACTGGTGCCACTGTGGGATACTGTGGGTGTGTCTACATGCTCTTGGTATTCTAGCCCCATTTTTCATGCCTATGTGGTTACACTGAAATCACTATCCACAGTCTTTGCTCACCGAACCCCATCCACAGCCTTCTCTATGAAGTCTGTGTAGCTCAGGGATGTCTGGGAGTGATCCACAAAGGTTCCATCCTGCCAGGGGCGAAACTCATTTTTTGAATGGAGTTTTTTCAGGGAAACTCTGCAAGAGAACTTGGTTTTTGTCATGAGTTTTGGAAAAATTCCTGCAAATGGTCCCAGAAGCCGCTTTGAAAACTGTTGATGATAAATGATTTTTTGAAATGTGAGACCAAAAAGGGAGTGAGCTGAGAATCTGTTCTTTCTGTCCACCTGAATGTGCATCCCGGTGTTCCATATAACTGGGATGTATCCCGCTTATGGTTGGCATACGTGAACAATAATACTGCAAATAATAATAAACACAATTGCATTCGTCATCATCATCATCATCATCACCATCATCATGACCATCATCACCATCATAATCTTCACCATCATCATCGTCATCATCAGCATCATCATCATCAGGATCATGGTCACCATCACCACCACCATAACCATCATCATTATGGTCACCCACCTCAACCATCATCATCATCATCATCATCATCGTGGTCGTTGTCGTCATCATCATCACCATCATCATAATAAATAACACAACTGGGGTATCTCCCAAGGATGATAAACCTCCCAAAGTCTGTATCAACCAGCGGAAGGGGATCATGAGGAATAGTGTCATCCTCCTCACTGGTGATGAAGCCTCTGAAAATGGTAATTTGCAATATTATATGTATATATGTATGTATGTATGTATGTATCTATCTATCTATCTATCTATCTATCTATCTATGTATCTATGTATCTATCTATGTATCTATCTATGTATCTATCTATGTATCTATCTATGTATCTATCTATGTATCTATCTATGTATCTATTTATGTATCTATCGATGTATCTATCTATGTATCTATCTATGTATCTATGTATCTATGTATGTATCTATGTATGTATCTATGTATGTATCTATGTATGTATCTATGTATCTATGTATGTATCTATGTATGTATCTATGTATGTATCTATGTATGTATCTATGTATGTATCTATGTATGTATGTATGTATGTATGCATGCATGTATGTATGTATGTATGTGTATAAATATATATATATACATCAATATGGCTATGTGTCTATATATACATAGACTTGCATAGGCTTTAAACATCCGTATGAATGTATGTGCGTAATTGTGCAATTGTATACACAGGTGGATGAATCGATGGATGGATGGGGATGGGTGGAGGGACAACAAACGGACTGACGGACAGATAGATTTATAGATAGATCGATAGATAAATCACTAGGTAGATAGATGGATAGATGGATATCATAATTGACTATACCTATGTATATGTATGTATATGTACCACCAAAGTACAATTATGATGCCCCCAACATAGAGGTATATTTAATACATTTAACCACCAACACGCACTCATCAACTGCTTGCGCAAGCGCCGATCCTCCACCCCAGCAATCCACTGCTTGCGATCGTCAGACCTGGTGACGGTGCCACTGTGGGCATTCCCTTTTTCGTAATTTGAACCATTTCATTAAGCACCTTAAACGATCTTCATTAGTGGATTCCATACATCTATATATATAATATATAGTAATTTGAAAATTAATGGATTTTACATTCTCTGGGGGTTGCCATAGTTCAGTGTCACAAATGATGATCAGCCTGATCGATCAATCTGCTGGTGAGATCCATCGATCCAGGAATTGGGGTCCCAACCATCAGGGCTGGAAACATTGTGGGAGTGTGATGTATTTATTTATGTATTTATGTATTAATTTATTATTTATGTATTTATTTATTTATTTATTTATGTATTTATGTATTTATGTATTGATTCATATATTTATTTACAGATTATATATATATAATATAATTGTATCATCAGACATATGCAGCTAATACATGACACGTCTCAAGAATATCCCGTCACAGGATCACCGCCTCTTCGCTGCAAAGGCCATGTCGATGAGATCATCGTCACGCGCGCCTGAGGCGCAGGGTATACCCCCGGAAAGCCCTGAACGAAATGGAGGTTCTTTGGTGGTTTATAGCTGGAAAAAACCCATGGGAAAGTGATCTGTAGCCTCAAAACGATAGAAAAGTGACATCCATCTGAGGCAAATGTACACGTGCATTCGTTTGCCCAAAACCACAAAGGACAATGTTCTGTTGCGGATCTTATGCGAACACTACAAGGCTGTTGAACGGTCGCCCCTTGTGTTTCCGAAAGGAAGTACCTTGGAAGATGATTGAGGTGGGCAAAAGATCATCTTTCCAGGGTTCACAATGAGGTTTACCCATCAATGTGGGATAATTGTAACATAATTATGTAACTTGGGATAATCATTCCCATCACAGTGAAGTCACTAGAATTTACCCAGAATCATTTTTCTGTACCCCTTTTCAAATGACCCATAAAATAGTGATTTGCTTGGCAGTCAGACAGCCAGTCGGCCCTGGCCACCGCGGTACGACGTACCGCGCCTGAGTAGGTGAATTGGATCTGATGATCTTGGAGGTCGGCAAAGTACCTCCAAAAGTCACAGGGTCATCCCATCTGTGGCGACGACTGTTACCATGTGAGGATTTTTTTGACTTTGCGAAGTGTTAAATGGCCTATAGATGCCTATAGAAATACATGATAGACTATGTAAATTTCATCGAAACATGATGATGTAAACCATGATTTACTTGTTCAAATGGCGATTTTTGCAGTTCACTACGTTAAATAACAAGGGCGTAACCACACAAACACAAAGTGCTCGCTTCCTATGGGTTCAGAAAGGCACAGTGTTTCTGTTTCGGTTCAGAAAGGCGCATTTCCTGTCTATCCAATTCTTTGGGTGCGGGCGGTACTCGTCGCGAAGCGACTCGAATATGTGAAAACCCTTATTATATATATATATATAAATCCAGGTTTATAGCTGGGAAAATCATCTAGAAATGAAGGCTTTTCCGTTGGCACAGTTGATGACCGGAGGGTACAGTAAATGATCTTAAATGTACGGAGGCTGATTCCAAGAAACCATTCTTATAATGTCTACTTAGGGGTGCATTGCAGTTGGCAAGTGGTTGTTGACCCGTCAATCTGACTGGTTGATATCCCATCACATCATCACTGGGTATTGAATAAGAACAAAAACCATATAGTAGTAGTGCCGCAAAATAATGATAGTAACAACTCTCAAATATATTGTTCTTATATAGTAATATATCATTAATCATTAATCATGGTCTTGGCATTTGTATTATCATTATTCCTATGTAAACTCTAGTTACAAAAATTATTGTAGACAATACTGCCATGGCACTCCCTGGCTTCGGCGCTGGTGCTGGTTCCAAGACCTGTGAGCTTCGGGATCTGCAAGCCGTTCAACGTGTATTTTGGGGAGAGCTTCATAGCAGATTGGATTACTAAATAATCTAAATATATCTATATAAATATGTTCCAGCTGGATATTTTGAAGATTGGATGTTGAATAAATCATAATAAATCTTGGATTTTTTTGATATGTTGGATGTATTCTTTTCGAAGATGGGATTTTGAATCCAGTGGACCCCAAATCCACCGGACTTTAACCATTGACGAAGCCACACCAGGAGGTTTCCTGAGTCATGGGGTACTCCGAATTCCAACCATGTTAGTTGCGGATTTTCCATGAAATCAACCAACCAGCTGGGATTGCCCATTGATGGTGGTAGATGGAAACCCCCATATCCAGAAATAGACACCACCGGATCTCCCAGTGGGAAGAAACTGGGCGAAACTGTGCATTCCAACAGACAGATACAACACAGGAACAATCATCACCATTATTACTATTGCAATGTTCCTGGATATCACAATAGTATCACAATTATTACAATTATACTTATTGCGTACTACTATTTTCAATCCAATTGCAATAATAACGATAATGACAATAGTGACAATAGTGACAATAGTGACAATAGTGATAGCGATAATAACAATCCCAATCTGAAAAACCGAATGTGTAGCAGTGTAGCAACATTAGGAGACTACGAAGGACAAAATCACTTCCATGAGAAAAAGTTACACATCCATCGAGTTTTCAGCAGTGTTTCAGCAGAGAGTACTCGGTAAACCATGTCCAAACGGTCCAAGCTGCAAACATCTGGATGTTGATCTAAAAATAAAAACACATACGCACAACCAAGTTCCAAAATCTGGAAACTGTTTGGTGTTTCCAAGCATATCTTCTCAACTGCTATGTTTTTTGTTGATGTTTTCCGGCTTCCCACAGTATCAACATCGACCGCGGATCGAGGCATGATTTATGGAGGGTCCCCCGGCCTTTGTAGTACTTGCACTTCCAAGTGTGGCTATCTCTAGTGGCCTGATGGTGGTGCCGACTCAACTGAGGTAACTGGGGGACGTTCATCCCCCCGTTCAGATTAAAGATCCCCAAGCTATGGTCCCAGTCACTGGGGCTGTTAAGGGATTGCCAACAAACATCTAGATTTAACCTGAACTAACACAAGTGAGATCAAGTGAGTATGTGGGATCAGTATTTCAGGCCTATGGATAGCCACACCCCAGGCTATCCATAGCCATACGCGGCTCAAATCAGCTGAACTCACGAAGAAAATCCCGTTGGTCAGATTCCATGGAAAAGGAAGATTCCTGCCGTGGTCGTGAGACCACGAAAATCGGATGCTCATGTAAGTTATACATATATACATATATATATATATGGGTTTGTCTGAAAATAGGCTATCCGACATTCTCAAATGATCAGCATTTTCAGCCTGGAAACAGCTATCATTGGCGGAAAAAAAAACATGTTGGGGCTGTTTAGTGGTTCTGGGTCACTTCCACTTCCCCCATCACTGGGAGCGGCCCCGCGCACCTCCTTCCAGGCTTCGTATTCGGGCAGCGTGAAGAAGGTCCGGGTGTCCTCGCCCTTGGTCACCTGGCGGATGCTCCCCCTGGTGTTTTTGTTTTTCAACTGGTACTCCCTAGTAAACCCTTTAATATACAATATCTCACGCCGGTTTTCCTGACTCCACTATTCACATAGTATTGATATGTAACAGAGTGTTTGAAGATATTTGAATACTCCAGGGATTCTATAATTTCTATATTCAAAGATATGTCCAATGGTCACATTCCTATTACTCCCAAGACTCCCAAGTTGGATTTTTCACAGAAACCTTCCCCGCGCCTTGACAATGGGCGTCACAAACTCCTTCAGGAAGCCTGGAAGCCTGGCGTTGGGGAGCCATGGACGAAGAAAGCTGGAGACATAACCAGTAGTGGTTAATAATAGTTAATAAGGTTAATATCGGTCAATAGTGATTCATAATGGTGATTCATGGAATTATCAACTAACCAACCATCCATTATATATATATATATACATGTATATATATATATACAGCCGTTATACATATATATATATATAATATATACATGTATATATATAATATACATACATATATATATAATACACATACATATATATATATATTATAGCATATATAAATCTATATATATATATACACACACTATTGTAACCAACTTCAACTAACAATCGAAAGTACTGCACCATCAACCAAAGGGATCCTTTGAGGAGCTGGAAACGTCCAATCCAATTCTCCAATTCATCCGGCGTTCGGTCGCGCCTCAGCAAAGATGGAAACCAGTGATGAATGAAGTTGATGATCAGCCCCTGACCAGGCACATTAAAATCTTGCTGCCGCAAGCTCGATGCGATGCGTTTCGACCCGTTTCGCCCCACCGGGCCTTGATGTGCGAGCCATCGTGATCCTGATCCGTCATGATCATGATGGAACCTCAGGCCGGTCAGAGCTCGAACGGAATAAGGAGACTTCGAGGTTCAAGAAACCAGCTTGACAGGTGCCATGAGAGGCGAGACACTGCAACTGACACATGGAGACTCTTGCAGACTCTCGGATGACGCAAAACAGTTTTGAAAGTTACACCTGGACTCTGGACCAAATGGAAGGCCCCAAAGTTGGAACGTACCAATGTCGCAAGTGTCACTGGGAGTGCAATGGAAACTCCATAAGATTGACAATCCATCAATGGTTGACCGATATTTGGCAAGCTCCAAATATATATATATATATTTCAATTCTTTCAAAAGTCTTTCCAATAAAATGTGAGGTCACCAAGTTTTACTTTCAACCGCTTCCCGAATCCGCCAGAATTCGATCGAACTCTGAGGTTCCAGTCCATAGCGGAGGCCTTTGGCATCTTGATACTCCTTAGCGAAGCGAGCGGCTGCGCAGCTTCAAAGCTGGTGGTGAGGCATTCCGGCATTTGGATCATCAAAAGTTGGATGGGGAAAGCAAAGAGGTGCTACAGTAAAAGCCCCCTGATCTGAACGGGCGCATGTTTCAAATAATTTGAGCTTGTCCACGCACTTCTAGGACCCATCCGAAGTCATTCTCGCAATCCACCCTGCCAAAATCCTCTCAAAAATGCAGAATATCAGAATATATCCACATAACATCATAGTCATACAGTATCCACCAGCAATTCCACCAAAGATCCACCCGAAATCCACCCAAAAAAACCCAAAAAAAAACAAGGCAACCCTCCTGGCCCTGCCGCGCCTTGGTGGCATCTAAGGCCATGATCTTCAAGACCTGAAGATTTGTTAGTTGATATATTTGGGCTATTTGTGGATATCTTGAAGATGTGTATTATATATTGAGAACTTGGTATCTGATATATATATACCCATATCCATATATATATATATATGTCTTCGTGATATGTATTTAAGAATGTGATTCTAGACATCTGCATATATATAATATAATATAATATAATATAATATAATATAATATAATATATATAATGGGATTTAATGGGATTCTTGCAAGAGTTCGTCTGAAATTGGGAAGCCCCAAAAAACAAATGGCCTTTTCCATCCATCCTTTTCCCAATTAAATGACCAGTTGACTGGGTGGCAATTTCAGAGACACCCAAGTATCATATCATATCAAGTTGGTTAATGACGTATCCCATGTCCCCACAGAAAATCCCCACTGTACCACAAAAAAAACCGTTGTACCACCAAAAATTATATATATATATCCACTTGCTGGGTCGTCATTCCAACAGCCCATCTGAGTCAGCACCTGATCGATCTCCTTATTTTCCAGCATTTGCTTCACGGTCAGCTCCCTCACCTGATGACTTTGGAGATTTCCCCAAGAAATTTGGGGTGGAAAATACTGTCCTAACGTTGCAAACTATTTATCTTAACGAAGGATCTCACCATGTGAATTTCATCAACACAAAATGCCCCAAATTTTCTCCCGCTGTACCTATCTCGTGCTGTACCGGCCAAAAAAATTGGCTGTGTAGCCGGCAAATGACGGGAGTGCGACCGTCAATACTGGGGATAATGACCGTCCCTGGAGGTGAGTGGAAGCCGCAGTACTCACGTACTGAAATCGATCCTCAAAGAAATCCAGAGCTATTCTGAGTTTGATTTTGGTGGGTTCGAATCGCAGCTTCCAATCATATCCTAAAAAATTGCTATATAATCCTACTAAATCCCCATTCAATCACAATTATCTCCCACAAAACGCAATTAAGTCCCCATAAAATCCCATAAAATTAGAATTATATCCATGTTATATAAGTCTCCATAAAATCCCTACAAAATCCCATTAAATCCACACAAATGCTTGGTTAACTGCCTCGGCAATGCAAACCTTCAGGCAACTGCCTAGGTCTCTGGGCATTGCGCAGCTTCCCACGCAAGGGAAAGACACCGAAGCGGTCACGGCCCAGCACGGAGAGACCAGCCACGGCAAGGGCCTGTGGAGGGCCACAACTGGCCGTTGTTAGTCGGAGGATCATGGGAGAAGCGAGCCAAAATTGATGGTTTCATGGGAAATATATAGGAAAAGATGGCAAAATATAGGAAATTTGGATCACTAGATCATTAAACTATTGCTGGGGGATTTTCCAGCAAGCCATGGTTGATTAGCGGAGAGTAAAACCGACAAAGATGCGATTGAAGTGAATGAAAAATTGAGTTTAAGTGATAAAAGAGACAATGGAAGAGGAACTAAAGAGATCTAAAGAGGGGTATCTGGCAAAATGGAACTATCAATCATAACCCAACCAAGAATTAGCCCATATCCCCCAATCTAACTGAGGACTGAGGTGGAAGCATGATAGTTTTGTCCATTCCTCATGGGGATGCATCCAAGCACAGGACCCTTTACGGCACCTTCGCCGAGTCTCCTTCGGTCAAGATCAAGGTGCAGTTGTGCCCCTGCGGCGAGCCACATTGGGATCATCCCTGTACAGGGCAGTACAAGCACAGCACAGTCTTTCGGGATGGAAACCGATCAAGACAACCAAAAAAATACATGGGTTTTTCTTCAAGCTGCAGAACCCTTAGGACCCTACGAGTCATGTGCCAAGGGCAAGGCTGGCTCCCGTCACACCTCTTTGGTTCCTGCCATGTTGGCATCTTCCAATTTGGGCACGCCAAAAAGCCGCTTCTGCAGACCTGAAAACGGCTGGGAGATGGACAACCTGAAGGGTTTAAGGCAACCTGAAGGCTTGGTATACGGCATACCAAAAAAGGCAACTTACATGGCAAAAATAAACATGATTAACCAGAAAAAAAAAAAAACAGGGCAGCCCATGTTCAGACAAACCAACAAACGACACAGGAAAATTGTCCCATGAGATTAGGTCTGCAAAAAATCGCTGCACACAACGTCCAATTGCCACGACAATTAGGAAACCACTTCGGAGCCTAGGTCGCTGCGATTCAGGTGTTGAGCCAACTCGCTCTTTCCCATGGCTTTGGACCACTCCTAGCCATAAAAAAAGGACCAAAGATTCGGATCAATTGATTTCTGTACTTTGGAATTTGTTTGCTGTGTGACATGGAAATTTCATGCCCTCCGTTGCAGCTTGGGAAATCTGATGTTGAAACTTGAAACCTACCGAAAGAGAGGAAAACTCACGAGATAGGGTTCCAATCCCGAAAAAATATGCTCTCTCCAATGGGGGAGAGATTTCAAACATTTTAATTGAGACTGTAGTGAAACACGGATGAAGAGTTACACGAAGCAGAAACCATTCGGGCCAGCTCAAAGATAGTGTCCCACAGGGGCTACGGATTTGGTTATCTTTCAAACTACATGATTCAGTTTTGAAACACTGCCATTTGTGTGTATCTGAAAATAAGGCATACCTCAAAGTGTCATTTGAGTGGGACCCTACGGTGAAACCCATATGGGATTTTGAGGTATCCTGTTTCCCAACAAAAACGGAAAGATACTGTTGATGAGTTAAGTTGTATCCCATTGTATCTCATTGAAGCCAACTGAATCCGAGTACACCAATTGGATCCGATTCTATGTCCTAAAAAAAACAAAAAAAATATCCTTAAATCGAATTACATCCCATTAAATCCCTTTAAAACCCATTAAATTCCGGTAAGTCCCATGAAATCCCATAAATATTCCCTTCAATCCCATGAAATCCCACCGGAAATTCCAACCTCTTAGTAGATTCCCGCCCCCGGAAATCCTGGAGGGACTCCAACAGTCCACTCTCTAAGACCTGGTGAAGAAAGGGGAAGGAAATTCCCATGTCCGTGGTTTCAAAAAGCAGAAAACTCTACATATCAAACCTCTTCAACCGTCCAAAGTTTGTCTCGCACCGCCCCAGAACACTGAAACTCTCTCCGTCAGCCCCTCTGAAGTTATTAAAAGGACGCAGTTGAAGGAGAGCCTCTGAAAGCAGATCTTCAGGTAGGCGGCAAGCCGAACCAAACCTGCACATCTGGTGCCAGAGCTGCCTTGTTCCACACTGGAACCTTGCAAGGTTCCAATGAAAAACTTCTGTTGAAGGAAATTGTAGGTCGTTTATAAATATAAATTATATTATAAATATATGAATCTTCCATGCTCCAAACAGATTCCTAGATCTACAACTGCTATAAGGCTATAACAATCTCTCTTCAAATCCATGGCAGAATTGCTTTCAGATGAGATCTACTGGAACCCTCCCTTCATCAAAATGCCATGGCTCTGTCAAATTCCTGACATCAAGCCACCAAATGAAACTAGATCAAACTCCTCTATCACAGCCACTTGGCACATTTCTGAACCCTTTTGGCCCAACTCTGATGCCAATCCGCAGCTGTGTCATTATGGTTCCTATGACTTTCGAAATTGCCATTACGGAGTCTGCCCCATCAGACACAGCCATGTCGCATCTTCGACACCAAAAAATCCCCCATCTGCCCATCGGGCCCATCGGCGGCGGATGCCCCAGCCTTTCCCTTTTGCTGGTCAAGGTTTCTTTGGTCTGTGAGTCGAAGGCTGGATTCTCCACCTAGCTGCTGAGAGCTGCAAGCCGTAAGAGGTGCACCCGAACAGAGGGCAAAAAAATGATAGATTTCTCTATGTGTCTTAGATATAAATACTGTGTATGTATATATATATTATATGTAATTATATAGATATGATAGATATGTAAGTTTGAATGATTTCAGACTTCCTGAGCTTGATGAGCAAACCAGGTTTACCTTCCGGGCGTAACCTGAATCTATCATCCGGTCCATCCGGTCCATCCGGTCATCCGAGCGGCTAAGCAATTGATGAAGACCCACAAGTAGCTCTTCACATGCTGACTTTTCACAGCCAATTGACCTGCACTGGATCTCCAAGTGGTGGGCCCGGTTGAATCATCAGATGGAAATCATCCAAATGTGGTGAATCTCCGGTCGTTGTGCGGTTTTACCCCTTAGAAATATCACCTGCGATGTTTTACGCTGCAAATATCGAAAGAACTATGCTTCACAGCCCTACGAAGTACTACAAGCCGTTCCCTTTCATCAGGGCATTCAATTCAAGACTCCCAATTTTGTTGGCTCCCAGTAAATCCTCATTAAATCTCATTAAATCACTATTGAATCCCATGAAGTCCCTGCGAAATCCGACGATTCCGCCTCCATTCTTCTGCTTGCCGATCTTCTCCAACACAGCGCTGACCACCTCCAGGGTCCCGATCCATCAATGGGAAATGCTGAACCCAACAAGAATGGTTGATTTCCAAGAAAGAAGAGGGGTTAGCCCCCTTACAGTATCCCATCATTCTTTCTGGGACCCAGTATACCCCCATGATTCTTCGTTAAAGTTTTATCCCATGAAATATCACCATTGTATCCCATTCTATATCACCACAAAATGGTTGGTTGAACCCCCATAATATCATCATTTCCCCTCAATTGTGTCGATTAAACTCCCAATCTTATTGGTTATATGCCAGAAGATCCTCCTTAAATCCCATTGAAGTCCCTCTTAAATCCCAAGGAATCCCAGTAAATCCCAAAAAATATCAAGCTCTGAACCAGCTCGGCAGCCTGATCGGTGATATACGAGACGTGCGTCCCACCACGGGAGGTGTTGATGGAATTCACAAAGCTCACCTCCATGGTGATGCCGCACGGCGAGACAATATCCATGGAGACTAACCATGGTTTCCTACAACCATAGTTGTTAAAAGATTAGTGATAAACCATGTTAGTCACAATACAGGAAGCCCCGATATTTCACACAACCATGGCTTCCAGTTGATTTTCCCACCAATCCATTGTTTCTAGTTGTCTAAATCATGAATGCACTGACCTGAAATAGATAAGGCCCCTCATCTATGGTGAGGTCCAATGGGGTTGCCAAATTGTGTGGTTGGGAAACTCAATTCGTAGCTCCTTAGCTCCCCGTTGAACAGGGAATATGGATAGCCCAATCGCTCAAAAAGCCGCTCCATGAAAACCACTGGATAGGTGATCAACCCTTACCCCCTGGTAATCAAACATGATTTGCTGCAAGATCACCCATTTAGTTCGATGGTTTTCCCAGCTAGAGACCTCCATCGAGTTCAGGGATTTCCCAGCTAGCCATGTTTGATTATCCTATTATAATTCCGGTCCCATTAAATCCAATTGTTGAAGGTACATAAACACTTATTAGCCGTGATTAGCCTTTAACCACCATCAACCACGATCAATAAGCACTATGAACATCTATTAACCACTATATTAAGCACTATTGACCACTATGAATTAACCATTATTGACCACTATATTAACCACTATTAACCACTATTGACCACTATGAACCATCCACTATCCGCTGGGTCAGCTGGGAGGCTACAGGGTACCTGTTTCAATGGCTGGATCGCTGCTGGCCCCTTCGCCTGCTGGAAGCCGGAGCCGTCTGTGAGGCCCAAGGCCACTTCCCAGCGATCGTTCACTACCTGGAGGCGGTCGATATTCCATATGAAAAAAAATAAGGGCGAAGAAGTTAATGGCGAATCATACATAATGTGAAGGAATGAATATACATATACATATACATATACATATACATATACATCTACATCTACATATACATATACATACATATATACATGCATATATATATATATATATGAATATGGAATAGAATTGGATTGGGAATACATATAACCAACCACAATATTGGGAATATCCAGAATATTCCTTTCTCAAACAATAATATGGAAATATGATAAATGGGAATATAACTGGATATAATTAGATATAACGGGACGCAATTGTATGTAATAAGTTTCATATACTCAGATATATAAATAGATATATATATATATGTAATGGGTTTTTACTGTAAATGGGATGTAACGGTTTTTTTTATGGGATATGACGGATTACAATACTGGGTTCCAATGATGGGTGCCAATGGATGGGGAAAACTCGAAAACCCTGGAGAGCTGGTCCATGTTGGAGAATTCGATGGCCGGAATCAGAGAATCGAAAGGAAAATAACTTGAAAAACTACTCTGCAACCCTGGTCCATATCTATATCTATATATATATATATGTTATATATATATATGTTATATATATATATATATGTTTTATATATATATGTTATATATATATATGTTATATATATATGTTATATATATATGTGTTATATATATATATGTGTTATATATATATGTTATATATATATATATATCAAATGCGAATCGGGGATTGCCTACCCGATTATGTTCCAATGGTTGATGTTGAGAATAAATGTTCCAGTTCGACGACGTCACACGGGCAGCTGCTTCCGCGTTGCTGATCTTTTCTCCAGTGCTGCAGTGGGGTCTTGAGCCAAAGAGGCCAGTTCAGATTGCCCCTTTGGTGCTGGATCACAGAGTGTTTAGTTGTGATATTATACTTGATCCGTAGCCTACACTCTATTCGCACCCCCCACGCATAGCCAACTTTGTTGGCTACGCGCAAAGGAGTGTTCTTTGAATTGATCCACTACACTCGCAGCTGTTCATTTATTGAATTATGGAGAGCTAAAGTCCGTTCAGAACTTCATATCTACATGGCGGCTTGCTACAATCTCTACCAAAAAATGAAGGTTCTGTTCACGTGCATGTAGACACGACGTAGTCGGTGTCTAGCATTGAGGTTCATCCAATGTGGCGTAGCCAGCATGGAGTCTCACTCAAGCATGTGAATTAAAGAAATCAAAACACAAAGTTGACTATGGAACTAGAAGTTTACCTTCCCGTCCCTTCGTCGGTTGAGACGTAGACCGCTGTAGAAACTCAGCGTTTCATGCAATGATGTTCAAAAAAAAATGTGTGGTTCTAAATTAGCCGGCTCAGAGTCCTCTCAGAAATCATTCAAAATGAAGTAGAGGTAAATCTCGAGCAATGATTGCATCCTCGCATCGCCAGGTTCAATCAGGACCTATGCAGAGGTCAGATCGCTTAATCATCTATATCCCCATCCATAGTATCCCTGTTGGTTCCAGTCTCCGCCACGGTGTGAATAAGATTTTCCACCTTTTCCTTGGTCTTTTCCACCCTTCTTTGGCGGGGTCACTGGAGCTTGTTTTGGCGGAGGAGCGGTTTCAACTGTTCTCCATGTCGCTGGCGATGATGCTTTCGCTTTCGACACTCTTCCCAGTGCTGGTGCAGCTTTCGGGGCTGCTTTCGATTTGCCAGCGGCTGGATTGGCACGTTCACGATCAGCAGGAGTCGGGGTATCAGCAATCGCAAGTATGTGAGCTTCAGACAAGTGGATGCCCCACCTTGGTCGTTGATCTTCCCGTTGCTTGATGTGATTGTAGTCATCGATCGCATCATATAGCTTTTGGAGTAGAGGTCGCGGCAATTGTCGGCCATTCTGAAGGATCAGGTGTAAAAGTGATATTCTTCGAAGTGGTGGACGAAGAGCACACACAATGTCAACTGGATTCAGTGGGATTGTGTCTTGAAAGTCAACGTTCCTGAAGAAATAAACAGCATTTACCCTATATGCACCTGCAATGATTCTTCTGACCATGACGTCTTGTCGGTCAAGGGCGTCGCGGGCCGCTGTGGTCTTTCTCATCTCATCCATTGTGGTGTCACGTTTCGACAGCTTCTCCATCTCCTCATCAAAGAATATGTTTTGCAAGTCATCATACGTGTAGCCACATTCAAGGGTATATATGAGAAGTCTTTTGAGTACCACTGCCCCATAGTATGCATTGACGAATCCCTCTTCTCCGATGTCGTCCTTTTGATTTGGTCGGCCGATCTCTTTGTAGAGCTCCTTCATCTGTTGTGCAGTTGGTTCAATGAGTTCACCATTTTCATCCTCGCCCAGGTAAGGTGTTCTTGAGTCCAGGTCCATCCTGAATTTCTGGTTCTGTTGAAAATGTTTCCATGCCGTCTCGATGTCTCCACAGAAGTTCCGTTGGAATAGTCTGTAGATCCTGACGATATGTAATCCAATCTGCAACAGGGGGATCTTGATGAATTCTGGCTGAGCATCTCCAATTGTGCAGGGTTCGATCGGCAGGACCTTTGATCCAAACTCAATCCGCTGCATCCACTTGGGGTACTCAATCACTGCATCACGAGCTTCTCCAGCCTCGTACTCTTCTATGTTAATTTCATCGACCGCTATCTCATCATCGTCGTTCTCATCGGTCGGTTTTCCTTCTTGATTGAGAAATTTGTCGACCTCATCTTGTTCTCTGAAGTCTCTTTTCTCATCATTGATGTCGCCCTTCTTCGAGGCTTGATCATCATCTCCTTCTTCTGGTTGAGTTTCTTGTTCTGGACTCTTCATGGTGACATCATCATCATCTGGCATCACCTCGTCGTCATCATCATCACCTGTCAAATCGATCTTCACCTCCTCCCATGCTTTCTTGACATGGTCTTTGAGATCTTCTTCTCGATGATGTGATTCGGCACTTGGTACTGTAGCCACGGTGATCTTGATTCGTTTCCTCCATCCATGACTCACCAAAAATCCTTTGCACATCACACAAATCGATAATGGCGCAGGGGTCTCCATCAGACATGCGGGGCATAGTCGATGGTCCTCTTTGCTAGGGTGATGAGTGACTGCCAATAATGAAATTGCATCATTCCAATCCGGATGTCCAGGGAACAATCTGTGAGTATGACTGAAGTGACCGGTCCTGATATCGACAAGTTTTCGAAGTTCGTCTAGATCGGGTGATGATTCTTCAGGCACAATGTTTCCAATGAGCTTGTCAAATCGTTCAATGGTGGCCACCCTCTTTGCACCTTGCACAGAAAGAACAAGTTGATCTCTCCCCTTCGTGATCATGAGACGGTAGTAGTCCTTTTCTCTCCAGTCGTAATACCAAACTGCATCGAATGATTCGAATGGAATTGTTTCTTGGACCAAAATGTGTCCGTCTGCTGATAATCGAGGGGAGAACTTGGCGATGGAATCGTACGTGATGTAGATGTAGACAAGATCAGTCTGTTCAATCTTCCTGAATCTCAGCAACATCTGACTTCTCACGTCCCATGGTGCGAATGGCACGAAGAACGTATTGATGCGGTCGCCTCCTCCTCCTGGACGTAGTCCTTCTCTGAAGATTTGGGCGATGTTGTCAAATGTGGTGCAATGAAATCCTCCTCCAAGAGTGTATCCTACTCCAGGGTTCATCTGATATGAAGTCTTCTTGTCTTCAATGTGCACACCGCCTTGAACTCTTGAATGCGCCATAGGGGCACGGATTGCCACCGGCCAAAGCCAGATCTCTCGATCTGCTGTGCCGATCTCCAACCTCAGTGTTTGTCGATCAAGTCTAGAGGTCAATCCATCATTGAAGTTGTTCATAATGTGTTCCAACTCACCTTTCGTGACCTTGAGTCCTAGCACTTGTGCTCGGATTCTCTTCGTTTGCTTGTACTCAGTGAAGATCACTCTCTGGAAATTGTTCCATCTCTCAACAAGTATCGGATAATTGACGTAGGTCGTTCCAGCCAATGTATGTTGGTCTCTCCAAATGGCATCGTACTTCAAGATCGACTCAACATTGACCCAACCTGCCTCGTCGCATGGTAGTCCACGGTGATTTCGATTGTCTTTGACGCAACCCACGGAGTGGCGTAGCGCTGCATTGAATCTTTTCGACAATTCGACTATCCATTGCGGATTTTCCCACTTGTCGCCCATCCACTCATTCTCGCCATATCGATGCACTTTACACCAGCCCATTCCAAGATCTTCTCCATTAATGCGAGCAAGTTGAAGTGTACCAATGTTGTGGCCATGTGTAAATGGTTGGATGTACTTGAAGTTCCAGTTGTCTCCACGTTGTTTTCTTTCTTCAATAAGCCATTTTACATAAGCATCATGATCAAGGGGGTTCCAAGCGTTCAGCTCTTCAATGGTCGGCAAAACAGGCGGGGATTCCTCAGCCGCACGTTCAATCAGCAAGTCAAGCTCATGACGATTCTTCACACCTCGGCTAATTGGGTTGACTTCGACTCCATTCACTAAGTATTGTCCTCCTTCTTCACGATCACCAATGTCGTACATAAAGGCTGACTGACTGTAGAAGCACTTGGTCACTTCCTCTTTCTCAGTGAATCTGGTTCTTCCCCAACGCTTTCCTCGTGGCATGACGTTCTTTGGGAGCTTGTCTTTTCTGCCTCTGGTTGCGGCTTTGGATCTTTCGGATGATGATGGGGATTTGGACTTCTGATCCATGATCAACCTCATGCGCCATATGGTGTCCTTCATGTTCTCATCATCTGGTGTAGTACATTCGTCAATGCCATGCCTTCCACCACAAATGAAACAATATTGAACATCCAATGCATCTGAAATCAGCTTCTCAAAACGATCACGGATGTCACGCACCTCGGTTCGGCGCTTCTTCGCTTCTGAAGGTTGTCCCCCCATGCCATCTTCCTCCTCCTCAATCTCGATGTCACCAGCTCTGGCATCGGTT